CATCAAATATCTTAATAGAATATGCATCGCCAGTGAAAATAGTTTTGTTTGAAGCCTTATTCAACACTTCATCAACAAAATCTGAAGATAGTCAGGGAGGAGGTCTGGGATTTTGTTTTGAGACCAGATATTTTTTCACCTATAGATGCAATACCAGATATTATTTATATGTCACATTGGCAGACAATTTTTTATATATTTTAAACACATTGGCAACAATGTCAAATTGGCAGACAATTTTATATATATTTTAAACACATCTGCAACAATGTCACATTGGCAGACAATTTCTGTATTTTTCCAAAAATGTGAAGCATAATTATTTTTTCACGATTTTTCGGGGACAGTTTATTTTTTGCGATAAAATAACACCCCAAACCCAACCTCTGCAGAATATCAATTTGTCAGGTCTCTAATGGGTCGTGGTCTTTTAAACAGAATATGCATTTGCCAGTGAATATAATTTCATTTGAAAGTTCATTTAAAACTTTATTCAAGTAATATGTATTCAGTTGCATCTTTCGTTCCAAACAACTATATAATGCCGCTCAGTTAAAGCCATTCTGATAATCTGAGTATATTGCCTTAAAGTAATATTATCATACTAGTGCCTATCACGAACAGCTGGAAATATTTGAATTTGCTAATGTTTATTATCAAACTGTGTATACAATGTGCACTGCCAACCGTTGGTCAATATATTCATGATTATGAGCTGCAGTTTAGGTATTACCCTTACTTGTCATGAATTAAACTCTGAGTTATGGTATGGTATCACCCAGAATGATTTCGAGAGCAGCATGCATGTTGATTTTGGCATTATACACTCCCACTTTCCTCTTATAGTCAAACTTTCTTACTTTTCCTTAAATACAGAGACATTTTCGAAGTCAACATACAGAGTTGCCTGTCCTTCTTACCAGACTCCGCCACGCAACCTCGTGTGGCACTGTTTGCCAATAGTTAGTCATTAAAATTCTCTGTATGCTTGTCACAGACTGTGTCAAGCATATGCTTACTATATCAAGCAATTTGATATCCTTTTATACCGGACTATGGCCTCCAAATAACAGTGTAAGATTGGTTTGAGATGGGCGTCTCTGGCTCCGTTTCCCTCTGTGTCTACCCCTGGATGATCATTTTAGACTCTGTTGCCGACGTCCCCGCAGCCGGCGAATCGCCTGATCACAGATTGGGAATTGTCTGCTCAGATGAGTAGTAACGTGTCCCAGAGCGTGGCCGAGCTCAAGTTTATGTTTGCTTCATTCGGCCAAGTTTGGTAAGCGAAAATCGAAATCCCCGCGGCCTTCGTCGTCTAAGCCCGACATGCATCACTCTTGTGGGGGGGAAATCGAAGTCCTCCAGAGACGGATCTTCAGCAGGTAATTCCACAACGACTAACGGGATCGGGTGGTCAGGCTCGCTGACTTGGTTGAAGCATGTCATCGATCCCAATTGGCTGGATCGATGCTCATGATATCAATTACTGGATTGTCTGGTCCAGACACGATTATATACAGACCACCGTCATATGGCTGGAATATAGCTGAGTGCGGCACAAAACAACAAACCAACCAACCAAAAAAGCCTATGTTTTCTGCCTCTCCGTCAACGTCTTAATCGTCCAATGTTATTGTCCCTCTTTGCGGTGGTGCCTACAATACAATAAAGAGAGGAATTCGCCAGTTACACCAATAATCCAAACACGCTGACCGTCTCCATGGCTGTACGCGAATCATGTGAGTTAATATTTCCCTATCAATTGTGATCGTGAGTATGGTGGCCAAGAGGGGACATCGCTTTCTCGCTCGTGAGTTATATGCAGCCGGATTCAATGATAGCTCATTAGCTAAGCAGTCATGTATCTCACTACAAACAAATACGACTCAGTAGTGTCAAAACGGCCAATGAGGCACTTGTTGAATAAAATGTTGAATCTGTCAAAATCCGGCCTTGATGTTTCATGCTCTTTAATCGAAACGGATCTGATATTCAGTCCCGTCATTTGTGTTTTCCTTGTCGGCCGGACACTGGCTCGTTAAACTACTAAACTGTTCATCATTAGGTTTTATGCGTCCCTCGTTAGGTTTTCAGAAGGCGCATAAAGCCACGTGTACCCCTCGTGATACTGATACAACTTATGTTGGGCGTAAAAGGAAAATGAGGGATACAAATTATATGAATAGATCACTGAAAATCAGTGATGACACCAGGTGTTCGCGAGTGAAGCTTTCTCCTAGTACTGGGCAATATACTTTCGCTTTTATCCTTGATAGTTAGACGAGGTCCGGAGTAACCTATCTTTTATCCTTGATAGTTAGACTAGGTCCGGAGTAACCTATGCCTGTCTCGGGAGGCGACATGAAGGATCGGGTGGCTGACCTCGGCTGATTGCATGCATCGGATCCCGAAGGCTTTTGGGGTCTCTCTTAATGTCAGTCACTGGTTTGTCTGATTAATTACAGGACGCCATGATGTAGCTTGTTCTATATGTTGTCGAGGTCTACGTCTGCTGAAATGTGTCCACTGTGTAGAACTCAGATGAAACCCACGACCACAGGTAAATTAGTGTCAAACAGAGGACTACAATCAGGGCGTATGCGGGATTCGAACATTCCTTAATCGGATCCTGGCACGACTCGGGGACGCAACACTCAAATGTGTGTTTCGCGTCTGTCGAGGAATTTATTGACCAGGGGTTGACAGACTGAGCAAAGTAAAGTTTTCAAAACAAGGATTGTTTTCTCTGCATCGACAACAACCAAACTGTCTGGAAGTAAATGGAGAAAGGGACAGGTGTAATTAAACTGTACCCATAGGTCCTTCCATTTTGATTATAGGTAGAAATTGTATAGCTGAGTCAGGTACAGAAGAACTTGAGATTATACACGTCTTTTGTGCCTAGTATAGATAAGGTCTACCTCGAAAATCCCATTTATCTGTAATACTTTTCATCATATTGTGCTTAACATATGCCCTATAAGTGAAATGGATGCAAATGATCATTACAAATTACAAACATAAGGCTCTTTTCTTGTTGATACACATATGGACAAACACATGGTAGGAGGCAGATTTTATTGCTTTTACAAGTTGTTTATAATCAAAAATTAATTTGTCAGTGAATAATCATGTCCTGTAAACTGTCCTTGAATTAACTGTGCTTACATCAAGGGTTCCTGTAATAAAATATGGTAGAGCAGCTCCAATTTTCTATTTTTCGAGCCTAAATCCTTTGTCTAAAATTCAGACCTCGATGTTTATGCACTGTTCAATGCCATCAGAAGGTGTTTATAATAACTCAAAACGACAAAACCCTTCCCATAACCCTTTTCCAAACATAACATAGTCTACAAGCACCATGCACAATAAACAATGGTCCGTAGAGTGGAAGGTCGGTGGTTCGATCCCCTGGCCCCGTCACACCAAAAGATGTTATAAGATGGTACTTGCTGTTACCCTGCCTGGCGCTCAGCATCATACAGCCATGACTGGTCGGATCGGTGTCTGTTCAATCCGCCTGAGGCCGTGTTGTCCATTTTAAACTACAGCATGGTATCTCAGTGGGTTAGCGTTGTAAAACCGGCATAAGCCCGGACTAGTAGCCACAAACATGCATGCACGTGAAGATCAGGGGTAGAATAGGTCTTCACCAACCCATGCTTGTCGTAAAAGGCGACTTTGCTTGTCGTATGAGGCGACTAACGGGATCGGGTGGTCAGGCTCGCTGACTTGGTTGATGCATATCATCGGTCCAGCTTGCTCGGATCGATGCTCATGATATCAATCACTTGATTATCCGGTCCATACTCGATTATTTACAGACCGACGTCATACAGCTGGAATATTGCTGAGTTCGGCGTTTAACAACAAACAAACAAAGCATGCACGTCTATAATTAAAGTAAACATAATCTTGAACGCGACGTTAAACCCCTTTTGACATCACCATACAATATCAAAAAGTAAACCTTAGAAATGACATGGATGAGGAGTTACACATTCCATCAGATGACGCTATCAATGTTAATGTCAGGTGTGGTCACCAACGATATCGACTGTAAAAGATGTAAAATGGTTTGTAAAAACACAGTCTCCTTACTAATAGTGCAATAAACAAAGCAAGACAAAGCATTGACACTATTTCAGCAAGGCTGGTTTATCGTTTCTGTCGGTGAACAGGAACCAGGTAGTAATTGCATCCTGCTGCTCCCTGGTCACGTGGGTCATCCGGCATGTGGTAGTTAGGTTCAGCAGCATCTCCTTCTGGTGATCCGATTGGCTGCTGGACACGTGACTCATCCAGTTGAGAGTAGTAGACCACGCCCTTATCGCGATCGCCTCCTTCGTTAGACGTGGAGCCCGAGTGTCCTGACCTCCTAAAACAAGATAATGCTCAGTCAGAGCGAATGGATAATATTGTTGTGTTTCTGCTTTTGTTTATATGCCTCATAAGATGTTTACATAATGACAAATACTAGTTCAAGTCCGTGTTGGTATTATTTACCTTTTAACACAAATAGCCATGATGAAACCAACAGAGACAAACCCTGTGACAAATCCAACGCACACAAACACAATCTGAGTGTGACGTTCACCTGCAATGAAAAGGAAACAATGGAAATATGTTATCCAGAACAAAAAAGAATATCCTGACGTCGAGGTGCCTGGGGACAGATTAGACCCGTTAAGATCCGGGGTAGAATTGGTCTTCAGCAACCCATGTTTGCCGTAAAAGGCGACTATGCTTGTCATATAGCTAGAATATTGCTGAGTTCGGCGTTAAACAACAAACCAACAAATGAAGACAAAACTTCGCGCGTGAGACCCCAACATGATGCAGTTCACAGAAAATATCCCATTTACTGGAATCATCGAGTATGCCTGCAGTGTTGACCTGGAGTCATAATGAGGAGGATGTTTTTTAAAACGACCATCAGTGGATTACTGAACTGCGTGACATTACGTGACATGACGAGATACGATGCCCCAGAGTAATCATTAATCTATGCCCATCCCAGCCTCCCCCCCCGCCCCCTCCCTCTGAGATGCGTTCATGACGTACTCGTAAAACATGTAGATATTAACCACCTGCCACAGATGTAGTGATAAATACAATAACACTCTTTTCTTAATAATTCAAACACTCTTCACCTGACGAAGATCGTGGCGCCACATGTGTGTCATGAGTCTCTGATTCTGAAACAATTTTTTAAAAATGATATGGGGGCACATAGATCAATGCAATAACAATGTAGGACAAAGACGTCCAGTTTGACCAACTCAAGTTTTAAACTATGTTTTTCTATCCAATTGACGTTTTCTCATTCAAAAGACAATAATAAGATGTCAGAAGAATGTATTCATTGAACCATGCTCGATACACATTGAAATACATACACAATATATTTTGATTCACATTTTGTTTCCTCTCCAAATACAACGTGCCCTGAAGGGTCTAGGAACCTCAACTCCGCTGCTTGCAACTTACAACAGCTAATATCATTATTAGAATCTCCCTATTTATTATGGTTGAGAAAGAGGTGCCTCCTTTCAGTATCACTTTCGCTTGATGCGGTTCACCTGTTTTAATCCGATATGGAAGAAGAATAACTTGGAGAATTTGGAATAAATAAAATTGTCTCTCGAACAGACCACAGAGTATATATTTTATTAAACAATCGCATTCTCACCCCATCAGCTCGTGGTAGGTTACCATACCTTATACATACATGATAGATTATGTTTCATTTCCTTAGCACTGTACGTTGATCAAAATAACGTTTCGTTTTTTCGTTGATGTCAATATAACTTTCAAATAATGTTAGCTTAATTTGGTGAATAATTATGTTGAATGAGTGAGCGAGCATATATAGACAAGTAGTCTACCCCACCGCCCCTCCAAGTGGAAATAGCAAAGGACATACCCTTACATGTCACTGTAACGTCAGAGCCGTCGTGTCCTGTAGAAAGGGAAGATAATTAATTAACGAAGACGTTTAATTTTAATGATAACATTACACGTTTTGTAATCAAAGGTGCCTTATTAAATTATTACCTTCCAGTCTCATCCATATCTTGTCAGGGAGATAGTCTCGGATAACATCCACCTGTAAACTCCACTCTGATTGGCTGATGGTAATCTCCTCCATGAAGTGGATTGCCAGGTCGCCACCCTGGATTTGGTACACTGTACGTGTCTTGTCCCTGATGGACAGTGTGGTCACGTGGCTGTTGCCCAGTCTGACGTCCAGCAGGGTGACGCGGCTCACAGCTCCACTGACTGTACAGTTGCAGGTGCTTGTTTCCAGAGATGACATCTTCAGTCGGTTGCTGCTGATGTAGACCTCCTTGCCTGTTTTGGTCTTGCTGTCACACAACAAGACACTCGCAACTTGATGTGAAAAGTCATATCATGATGGATAAGTTCTTCATGAGGAGGGGTGGTCGGGTATCCTAGTGGTTAAAGCGTTCGCTCGTCACGCTGAAGACCCGGGTTCGATTCCCGATATGGGTACAATCTGATATTGCTGGAATATTGCTAAAAGCGGTATAAAACCACACTCACTCACTCACTCACTCACTGTATGAGGAGTCATAAATTTGATTTGTTAACAAGGGATGATGCTTTGCTTTAAACATGATAAATAGGAAAGTATATAATCAATGATTATGGTCGTATTTCCATATGTGAATGAAAGTGCGCACATCTGAAACTATGTATATGTTATTATATATATCCATGCATACACTCCTTCAATATACAACGCTTAATTATTAAATTATCCATTGTGATCAATGATAAGACAACTGCTGTTGGGTTTTCAGCTGCCGGTGACAAATCCCCGTGTACAGCATGTTCCTTGAACACTTGCCACGTGGAGATTCCGGCTTAGAATAGATCCCCAGCAACCTTTGTCGAGCGAGGCGAGTTAATATTGGGCCGACCGTACAGTTGGAATATTGTTAATTGCTGCATTAAACGACAAACAAACCACTTTACTTTGGAGTGTCAGATATTTGGGTCAATGTGTTATTAAGAGTACAACGCGATTACAGAAAGGAATCAAACAGAGAGCAACATATAGACTTGAATGGTTAGAATAGTCTGGTCAGCTGGCTGTTTCGGTACGTTTGCTTCGTGACGTGCAGTATCCACTATTGTAGTATGTGAGCCAATCTATGTAATGAGCATCACCTTGAAAACTAGTGCACAAAGACATTGTTTCAGTGGTAACATGGCACAAACTAAAACAAACGTGGAACATAGTCTCGCTTAAAGTTAAAAGTCTTCACTATTTGTCCCTGTAAATGGCAGGCTGTAATTTACCTTTGACACACCGATGCATTACCACCAGATGTGACGGGCGTTTCTTTCTCTCTCCTACTGGGAGGTCCTTCAAGCCATGGATAGAGGAACTCGTGTCACTCTCCAGGATACAGTACCTCTTCTGACTACACTCCTCCAGAACCTCCATGATCGCTGCCTGATAAGCCCTCTTCTGATGCACATCCGATGCGTTTAGCAAACATCCCCCAACGTCATAATATTCATCATTGAATTTTTCTACACAGGATCTGTAGTCTGCATTCCTGTCGTCACCGTCCTTACGTACATGAGCTCTTTGCATGAAGCGTTTGACCAACACTGATTCATTTCTGGGACACTTGATCTCTTTACTCCCCTGATTGTAACAAACGCTAATAACGTCCCCTTCTATTTCTTCCACATTCACTTTGTCACAAATGATGGAACCTGAAGTATAACAGAAAAATGTGCATGAGCTCATGTCACAAAGATTTTTTATTTGTATTTTGAACTCAGGAACAGGGAAGTTCAGGACAACGTCAGTGTGAAGAGTGAGTACATATTCAACGCCGCATTGGCAAGAAGAGAGTCACGCAGTTTTCAATGTGTAGAAATAAAGATGGTTTATGACAAATACGGCTGACCTCAACAAGTATTAGGCACCTTTCAGAGGACAAAACTGTATACCTTGAAGCAGTGGCATATGATATATTCTATCCCTGACAAGAAACTCCCCCAGACATTAACTTACCCACTCTGCATATAAGATTGACAGGAAATAGAGAAAATGAACATTTCCTGTTATTGATCGCAGGGAAAATATTTACTAAAATTCTGATTTCAGTGTCTAATATTTCTCTTTAACATTCATCAAATATCTTAATAGAACATGCATCGCCAGTGAAAATAATTTTGTTGAAGCCTTATTCAACACTTCATCAAGAAGATCTGAAGATAGTCAGGGGGGAGGTCTGGGATTTTGTTTTGAGACCAGATATTTTTTCAGCTATAGATGCAATACCAGATATTATTTATATATAAAGCTATGAGCCCAAATATATATATATACCCAAACCTCAACCCCAACCTCTCCAGAATATCAATTTGTCAGGTCTCTAATGGGTCGTGGTCGTTTATAACAGAATATGCATTGCCAGTGAATATAATTTCATTTGAAAGTTCATTTTAAACTTCATTCAAGTAATATGTATTCAGTTGCACCTTTCGTTCCAAACAACTATATAATGCCGCTCAGTTCAGGCCATTCTGATAATCTGAGTATATTGCTTTAGAGTAATATTATCATACTAGTGCCTATCACGAACAGCTGGAAATATTTGAATTTCCTAATGTTTTTTATCAAACTGTGTATACAATGTGCAGTGCCAACCGTTGATCAATATATTCATGATTATGAGCTGCAGTTTAGGTATTACCGTTACTTGTCAGTTAACATCATGATTAAACTCTGAGTTATAGTACGTTATCACCCAGAACGATTTCGAGGGCAGCATGCATGTTGATTTTGGCATAATACACTCCCACTTTCCTCTTGTAGTCAAGTTTTCTTTCTTTTCCTTAAATACAGAGACATTTTCGAAGTCAACATACGGAGTTGCCTGTCCTTCTTACCAGATTCCGCCACGCAACCTCGTGTGGCACTGTTTGCCAATAGTTAGTCATTAAAACTCTCTGTATGCTTGTCACAGAATGTGTCAAGCATATACTTACTATATCAAGCAATTTGATATCCTTTTATACCGGACTATGGCCTCCAAATAACAGTATAAGATGGGTTTGAGATAGGCGTCTCTGGCTCCGTTTCCCTCCGTGTCTACCCCTGGATGATCATTTTAGACTCTGTTGCCGACGTCCCGGCAGCCAGTGGATTGCCTGATCACAGATGGGGAACTGTCTGCTCAGATGAGTAGCATGCCAGCCAACATGGCCCAGAGCGTGGCCGAGCTCAAGTTTATATTTGCTTCATTCGGCCAAGCATGGTAAGTGGAAATCGAAATCCCCGCGCTCTTAGTCGTCTAAGCCCGACATGTCACTCTTGTAAGGGAAATCGAAGTCCTCCAAAGAGTGTTCTTGGTTCATGTCGACTGTCTCGAGGATCAGTTATGGTCCACTCTTATAGCGGGTCTTCGGCAGATAATTCCACAACGACTAACGGGATCGGGTGGTCAGGCTCGCTGACTTGGTTGAAGCATGTCATCGATCCCAATTGGCTGGATCGATGCTCATGATATCAATCACTGGATTGTCTGGTCCAGACACGATTATATACAGAACACCGTGATATAGCTGGAATATTGCTGAGTGCGGCGCAAAACAACAAACCAACAAAACAAAAAAGCCTATGTTTTCTGCCTCTCCGTCGAAGTCTTCATCGTCCAATGTTATTGTCCCTCTCTGCGGCGGTGCCTACAATACAGCTGAAGACAGAAGTGTCCCCTGGATGTTCTTGAGCGCTCGGACAACACGGTGTCTCTGCCATTCGATCTCTGCTTGGGGCGGTCGGGTAGCCTAGTGGTTAAAGCGTTCGCTCGTCACGCCGAAGACCCGGGTTCGATTCTTAACATGGGTACAATGTGTGAAGCCCATTTCTGGTGTCCCCCGCCGTGATTTTGCTGGAATATTGCTAAAAGCGGCGTAAAACCATACTCACTCACTCAGTCGAACTCTGCTGGGGAATCTTCATGTTCGGGCCACCCGTGAAGTGGGCAAGAGGATCGCCCTTGACAAGAAGGGGTGACAAGCCTGCTCGTGTCTACTTCGCCTCTATGCATTGAATGACCACCACACGGGGGTGTCCTATTTGCCTGGTGTTGTTACATCGATGTATATTTCAGCATTCTTTGTCCTCCGTGGTTCCGGTTTACCGTATTCAGGAAGCCGACATTTACCTCGCCATGCCCCTGAGATTAGATTGTACCTGGGATTGTTCTCGGTCAGTGTTCGGGAGATCCTTCCACCACTAGAGCTCTGAAGAAATTACCCGACCCGTCCGAGGGGTCCCATCAAGTCTTGTTTCTACATTCAGTCCTCAATTCTATGGCCCTCAGTTACTTTGACCTCTTTGATATTTTGCCCCATTCGGTGTCGGGGTCTCAATGCGGCCGGCTCTATAGTCAATGTTCTGATGGCGTAGGCACTGTGAAGCAGCCTCCGACGTCTTCAGCCTTGAAGGAGGTGAAATGGGGTTTAACGTCCCGTTCAAGATTGTTGCACTTATATAGCGACGTGCATGGGCGTGCGTGCGTGCGTGCGTGCGTTCGTGCGTGCGTGCGTGCATTCGTGGCTGCTTGTACGAGTCCAGACTTATGCCGATTTTACAGTGCTAGCCCACTCAGAAACCATGCCGCACTTTAACATGAATCCCCAACTCAGACACAGAGACGGCCAGTCCTTGTTTTAAATGTAAATCCTTCATGCCGAGCGTTAGTCAGGGTAACAACAAATATCATATTTTGACGTGTTTTGGTATGACACGGTGAACCCCCGACCTTCCTCTTTCCGAGCAGGCGTTAAATCCCACTCACTCACTCACTCATATGAAGCGTAGTCACTTTTTCCGATTTAATTCCGGATTTAAAAATGTCACATAGTGAATAATAATAAACCATTATTAAATCACATAAAAATATATTTGAACTGAATTTGCTTTTAAAGGAGGTTGTTATATATCCGGATTGTTTATTGAGTCAGTTAAGATTAGAATTAAAACTGCTTTGAAAATTATGTCAGTTATATCTCAGTGATAACTAACAAGAAGTCAACAGTATATCAATTCAACTGTAAATTACTATAAACGATAAGTGACATGCTACAAATAATTCATGGTATTCTATTTACTTAGCTTGAATGACCAAAGTACAGCAGTTATTCATATAGTATCAGTACATTCTTCGTATTTGAGTTTCAGAGGTTAATACAGCACCGTTAATAATTTGACTCAACTTACCACCCTCCTCTACATTTGCATTCCTTGTCCAAACAATCTGATGTTTTACCATCAAAAAACAATTTCAAAGGTCGTGTAGGTCATCTCTATTATCAGTTACAGTCAACATCGGAATTGGCAAAGTGGGATAAAATAAATTTTAGAAACCACAAAAAATCATATTCAACAACACTACACATACGAATAATGTTTAGTTTGTTTGTTTGTGTGTTGTTTAACGCCGCACCCAGCAATATTCCAACTATATGACGGCGGTCTGAACCAGACAATTAAGTGACTGACATCATGAGCAACGGTCCACGCTGTCGGGGTACGATGACACAAATCACCGACCCTGATCGCTCAGTCTCCTCTTACGACCAGCATCGAGCTACTAAATATGCGAGCCTCACCACCCGAGCCTACGACAAGCATAGGTCCTAACCCTGATCTTTACTTGTCCCAGCGAATAATGATAATACGATTTGAAGAATTCTTAGAGCTGGTTCTATCAGGATGCAACAGAGTAGACATCTACTTACAAAGACAGGAATTCGCCAGTAACACCAATAATCCAAACACGCTGACCGTCTCCATGGCTGTACGCGAATCATTTGTGTTAATATTTCCCTGTCAGTTGTGATCGTGAGTCATATGCAGCCGGTTTCAGATATGGTTATGTCTTTCTACACTTGAATAGAATGTTGAATCTGTCAAAATCCCGCCTTGATGTTTCCAGCTCTAATATTGAAACGGATCTGATATGCAGTCCCGTCATTTGCGTCTTCTTTGTCGGCCGGACACAGGCTCGTTAAACAACTGAACTAAATGTCTATTTCCAAAGGAGCAGGAGCTGTGTACTGTCGTTAATTAAAGACACAAAACCTTTCCATATTCAAAGGCGACCTTGCTTGTCGTAAGAGGCGACCAACTGGATCTGGTGGAAAGGCACGCTGACTTGGTTGATGCATGTAATCGTATCCCAATTGCATTGATCGATGCTTTTGATGTCAATCACTGGATTTTCTTGTCCAGACTCGATTACTTACATACCGCCGTCATATAGCTGGAATATTGCTGAGTGCGGCGTTAAACAACAAATATAGAAACAATCATAAGGTTTTATGCGTCCCTCGTTAGTTTTTCGGAAGGCGCATTAAACGACATGTACCCCTCGTGATACTGATACAACTTATGTTGGGCGTAAAAGGAAAATGAGGGATACAAATTATATGTATAGATCACTGAAAATCAGTGATGACACCAGGTGTTCGCGAGTGAAGCTTTCTCCTGGTACTGGGCAATATACTTTCGCTTTTATCCTTGATAGTTAAACTAGGTCCGGAGTAACCTATCTTTTATCCTTGATAGTTAAACTAGGTCCGGAGTAACCTATGCCTGTCTCGGGAGGCGACAGGAAGGATCGGTGGCTTGCCTCGGCTGATTGCATCGGGGTCTCTCATAATGTCAGTCACTGGTTTGTCTGATTAATTACAGGACGCCATGATGTACCTTGTTCTATATGTTGTCGAGGTCTACGTCTGCTGAACTGTGTCCACTGTGTAGAACTCAGATGAAACCCACCACCACAGGTAAATAAGAGACAAACAGAGGACTACAATCAGGGCGTATGTGGGATTCGAACATTCCATCATCGGATCCTGGCACGACTCAGGGACGCAACACTCGAATGCATGTTTTGCGTCTGTCGAGGAATTTACTGACCACAAGTTGACAGACTGAGCAAAGTAAAGTTTTCAAAACAAGGATTGTTTCCTCTGCATCGACAACAACCTAACTGTCTAGAAGTAAATGGAGAAAGGGACAGGTGTAATTAAACTGTACCCATAGCTCCTTCCATTTTGATTATAGGTAGAAATTGCATAGCTAAGTAAGGTACAGAAAAACTTGAGATTCTACACAAGTCTTTTGTGCCTTGTATAGATAAGGTCTTCCTCGAAAATCCTATTTATCTATAATACTTTTCATCATATTGTGCTTAGCATATGTTCTATAAGTGAAATGGATGCAAATGATCCTTACAAATTACAAACATAAGGCTCTTTTCTTGTTGATACACATATGGACAAACACATGGTAGGATGCAGATTGTATTGCAGGCAGGGCATGGTGAAACGTAGGGGAGGAAACCCAGAATAATTGATAAAACACAGCGGGAAATCATTCCCTTGAGTTACAGGTCTTTTTCACAAGTTGTTTATAATCAGAAAGCAATTTATACAAGCACCATGCACAATTAACAATGGTCCGTAGACTGGAAGGTGGGTGGTTCGATCCCCTGGCCCCGTCACACCAAAAGCTATTAAACAACTTGTACTTGTATTTGTTGTTACCCTGCCTGGCGCTCAGCATCATACAGCCATGACTGGTCGGATCGGTGTCTGTTCAATCCGCCTGAGGCCGTGTTAAACTACGGCATGGTTTCTCAGTGGGCGAGCGCTGTAAACCTGGCATAAGCCCGGACTAGTAGCCACACACATGCATGCACATTTCTATAGAAGTAAACATATCTTGAACGCAACGTTAAACCCCATTTGGCATCACCATAGAATATAAATGTCACTAAATGATCACTATGTGCATTAATAATAGTGCAATAAACAAAGCAAGACGAAGCATTGACACTCTGTCAGCAAGGCTGGCAAGGCTGGTTTATCGTGTCTGTCGGTGAATAGGCACCAGGTAGTAATCATTGCATCCTGCTGCTCCCTGGTCACGTGGGTCATCCGGCATGTGGTAGTTAGGTTCAGCAGCATCTCCTTCTGGTGATCCGATTGGCTGCTGGACACGTGACTCATCCGGTTGAGAGTAGTAGACCACGCCCTTATCGCGATCGCCTCCTTCGTTAGACGTGGAGCCCGAGTGTCCTGACCTCCTGAAACACGATAATGCTCAGTCAGAACGAATGGATAATATTGTTGTGTTTCTGCTTTTGTTGATATGTCTCACAAGATGTATACCTTATGACAAATACTAGTTCAAGTCCGTGTTCTTATTATTTACCTTTTAACACAAATAGCCATGATGAAACCAACAGAGACAAACCCTGTGACAAAGCCAACACACACAAACACAATCTGGGTGTGACGTTCACCTGCAATGAAAAGGAAACAATGGAAATATGTTATCCGGGACAAAACAGAATATCATGACGTCGAGGTGCATGGGGACAGATTAGACCCGTAAAGATCCGGGGTAGACTTGGTCTTCAGCAACCCATGTTTGCCGCAAAAGGCGACAATGCTTGTCATATAGCTAGAATATTGCTGAGTGCGGCGTTAAGCAACAAACAAACAACTGAAGACACAACTTCGCGCATAAGACCCCAACATGATGCAGTTCACAGAAAATATCCAATTTACTAGAATCATCGAGTATGGCTGCAGTGTTGACCTGGAGTCATAATGAGGAGGATGTTTTTTAAAACGACCATCAGTGGATTACTGAACTGCCACAAGACACAAGGTGACATTACGAGATACGATGCCTCAGAGTAATCATCAGTCTATGCTCATCCCAGCCTCCCCCCAACCCGAGATGCGTTCATGATGTACTTGTAAACTATGTAGATATTAACCACATGCCACAGATGTAGTAAATTCAATAACACTATTTTCTTAATAACTCAAACACTCTTCCCCTGACGAAGATCGTGGCGCCACATGTGTGTCATGAGTCTCTGATTCTGAAACAATTTATAAAACATGATATGGGGGCACATAGATCAATGCAATAACAATGTAGGACAAAGACGTCCAGTTTGACCAACTCAAGTTTTAATATATGTTTTTCTTTTCAATTCACGTTTTCTCATTCGAAAGAAAATAAATAAGATGTCAAAGGAATGTATTCATTGAACCATTCCCGATAAACATTGTACTACATACACGATATGTTTTGACTCACATTTTGTTTCGTCTCCAAATACACCATGCCCTGAATGGTCTATGAACCTAAACTCCGCTGCTTGCAACTTACAACAGCTTATATCATTATTGGAATCTCCCTATTTATTATGGTTGAGAAAGAGGTGCCTCCTTCAAGTATTACTTTTGCTTGATGCGATACACCTGTTTTAATCAGATATGGAAGAAGAATAACTTGGTGAATTTGGAATAAATAAAATTGAGTCTCTCCAACAGACCATAGAGTAAATATTTTATTAAACAATCGCATTTTACCCCATCAGCTCGTTGTAAGTAAGTTACCATACTTTATACATACATGATAGATTATTTTTCATTTCCTTAGCACTGTACGTTGATAATAATAACGTTTCGTTTTTTCGTTGGTGTCAATCTAACTTTCAAAGTATGTCAGCTTAATTTTGTGAATAATTATGTTGAATGAGTGAGCGAGCATATATAGACAAGTAGTCTACCCCACCGCCCCTCCAAGTGGAAATAGCAAAGGACATACCCTTACATGTCACTGTAACGTCAGAGCCGTCGTGTCCTGTAGAAAGGGAAGATAATTAATTAACGAAGACGTTTAATTATAATGACAACATTACACGTTTTGTCATCAAAGGTGCCTTATTAAAAACTTACCTTCCAGTCTCATCCATATCTTGTCAGTCTCGGATAACATCCACCTGTAAATTCCACTCTGGCTGATAGTAATCGCCTTCATGAAGTGGACTGCCAGGTCGCCACCATGGATTGTGTACACTGTACGTGTCTTGTCCCTGATAGACAGTGTGGTCACGTGGCTGTTGCCCAGTCTGACGTACAGCAGGGTGACGCGGCTCGCAGCTCCATTGACTGTACAGTTGCAGGTGCTTGTTTCCAGAGATGACATCTTCAGTCGGTTGCTGCTGATGTAGACCTCCTTGCCTGTTTTGGTCTTGCTGTCACACAACAAGACACTGGCAACTTGGTCTGAAAAGTCATATCACGTTTAATGAGTTCTTCATGAGAAGGAGTGGTCGGGTAGCCTAGTGGTTAAAGCGTTTGCTCGTCACGCTGAAGACCCGGGTTCGATTCCCGATATGGGTACAATCTGTAACCCGCCGTGATATTGCTGGAATATTGCTAAAAGCGGTATAAAACCACACTCACTCACTCACTCACTCACTGTATAAGGAGTCATAAATTTGATTTGTTAACAAGGGATGATGCTTTGCTTTAAACATGATATATAGGAAAGTATATAATCAATGATTATAGTCGTATTTACATATGTGAATATAAGTACGCACATCTGAAACTATGTATAGATAATTGTATAGTCATGCATACACTCCTTCAGATATATACAACGCTTAAATATTATATTATACATTGTGATAAATCGTAAGACAACTGCAGTAGGGTTTCCAGCTGCCGATGACAAATCCCTGAGTACAGCATGTTTCTTGAACACTTGCTACGTGGAGATTCGGGCTTAGAATAGATCCCCAGCAACATTTGTCGTGCGAGGCGACTTAATATTAGGCCGACCGTTCAGATTCCACTATTGTAGTATGTGAGCCAATCTATGTAATGAGCATCACCTTGAAAACTAGTACACAAAGACATTGTTTCAGTGGTAACATGGCACAGACTAAAACACACTTGGAACATAGTCTCGCTTAAAGTTAAAAATCTTCACTATATGTCCCTGTAAATGGCAGGCTGTAATTTAC